TGAGTTACATACAATTTGTCACACTTTAATATAGTAACAGGGAAGACGCTATATTACACATATAGTGTTATTCATGCAAAACTTAACTTTGACCTATTCACAATGCATTACTTGTGTGATCAAAAGAGGAAATTATTGTCGAATGCTGTGAGATACAATGATTTGTTCTCAGTAAGGCAGTTTCCTGATTGATCGATATGACAGTCGCAGCTCGCAATGATTGCATCCCATACGTATTGAACGTTTTGTAGCTAGCCCTTTAAACCTCCTTATCGTTGTTTACAATTTGTACTTACTAATATTACTCAGCGACAAAATTTGTTGTATAATTTTTCAAAAACTTGATAAGGTTTATTAAAAATTACGAAATTTACTTTTCACATAATTTCCAAGTAATAAAACAGTGGACTACGTAGAGCCATGCTGCAGCTATATTAGTAATATAGTTGTAGCAAGAATGGCTCGGCTCGACCGGGTAAGGACCACGCTCTCATAGAACATCAACGTAAAATAGCATCTTAAGACTGCTGTGTTTCGTATGGTGAGTGTAGAAAACCGGAGACTCTTTTTTCTGGAAAAGAGGCATGCCATCTTAGTCCTGACGGGTGACAACGCATCTGCATTTTTTCGCAAACGAGCATAGATGTAGATGTCTGTGGGCCATAGCAACCACTTACTATCAGGTGGACTGTGTGCTCGTTTGTTACCCTATCCTATTAAAAAAATACACTATAATATAGTATACACAGACTGAGGAAATAGTCTGGCGTGATCGAGATAATATAGCCTCATCTCTTGGGAGCCATAAGAGCTTTCTGACATCACCGTATTTGTTTCTTACGACACTAACGAAATGCAAGGAGGTGATTGGTTTTCTTACGCTTTAACCACTTGGCATTATATTAGCTTTCCTTGGGAAGACCAAGTTGAAGATTTTTTATATAAGAGGGGCAAATGAGCATGCGGCTAACCTGATGGTAAGTGTCGATCACCGCCCATTAAAAACTGAAACATCAGAGGGCCGGCCTTTTATAAAGTAGTGACGCCTTTTATAGAGTAGTTTTATAAAGTAAGACGGCTCCATGGCGCAGTGGCTCAGGAATGAGTTGCAGCGCTAATGGCCGCGGGTTCGAATCCCGCACGGAACAAGTATTTGTATGGGCCTACAAATATTTTTTCCAGGTCTGGATGTTTGTCCTTGTGAAATCTATGTAAACTGCCCCCACGATACAGGGTCCCTAAAAAAAATTCTACTCCGAACGGTTCGCGCTCTACGCCATGTTTTATAAAATTCCGAAAATTCGTACTTCTGCTCACATTTGTGGTCATCACGTCCACAGTTTAATGCCTAAATCGGATTTTTTTCTTTTAATGTGGTCCCTAATAATGATGTTCCTAAATTACCCTTAAAAGTTTTCAACTACTATGGGTACAAGACGACACTAAATATAAGTTTTAATTTTTAACTTTATTTATCTGCTAAGTTTGAGCACAACAGTTTAAAAAGTTTGCCTACATCATGAGGATTCTAAAACATTAGAATACTATGTACTTAATATCATTACTTACTGAGCTATAGCCGTTAATGTGTAAAAGTAGGCATTTCTTTACAAAATGACGAAATTATTGGCAGATTGTTTTTTTAACATTGCATGTCCTTATTAGGTGTCTATGTCGCCCTTGAAAATTTTACTTTACTACCTGCTTGCCTTGTTTGAACGAATTCTAAGCTGTGCGAGCGAGACAAACAGTGATACTTGACATGTTCTATTATGTATAGCTGTGAAAATATGTTTTACTCTTTTCCAAATGTTAAGGATGCGTAAATTAATGAAAAGAACATGAGTTATACCCATTTCTTTTATTTAAAATCATTTACAGAAAATGCTCAAACTGGCCTCCTCCGGCCATCATGCAGGCTCTACATCTTTTTACAAACGATCTTTCTAAAAGTCTTTGATAATTTTTGGTTGAAATAACCCTTGATGCTTCTGTGACGCGAAGTCTAAGTTCGTCCATTGTTTCAATTGGTTTTTTTATAAACTTGCTCCTTCAGGCAGTCCCAATAAAAAATCTAATGGGTTAAGATCAGGTTATCTTGGTAGCCACAATAACGGCCCCATCCGGCCGATCCATCGGTCATGATGGATTTCGTTTAAGTAACTCCTTACTTGGACGGCGTAATGTGCCAGACAACCATCATTTTGGAGCTACTTCGCCGGTTGGCTAGTGGCTCATCTTTCAATGGGGCAGCTCATTTTGCAGAAATTTTAAAAAATTGGCCCCATTCAGGTTACCCGGCAATTCATAGGGGCCTATGATTCTTCCGTTTAGTGTTCCTGTCCAATAATTTATTTTAAACTGGTATTGCGACTTATCTTCTCCTATCAAATTTAGGTTTGCTCGCTGCCAACTGCCAGCTTTTGCAGTATCTTGAGGATCACCAGCTGATTAGTGACAGCCAATACGGTTTTCGTCGGGGTCGATCAGCTGGTACTCTTCTGGTCTACCTGACTCATAGATGGGCGGAGGCAGTAGAGTCCAAGAGTGAAGCGTTGGCCGTTAGTTTGGACATAGCGAAGGCCTTCGATCAGGTTTGGCACAAAGCGCTTCTTTCGAAGCTCCCTTCCTATGGGCTTCCCGAGAAATTGTGCAATTGGATCACCAGCTTCCTTGCAGATCGGATCATCAAGGTCGTTGTAGACGGTGCATGCTCCGACTACAAGCCTATTAACGCTGGTGTTCCACAAGGCTGTGTGCTATCACCAACGCTGTTTCTTTTGCATATCAATGATATGTTGCTAACTGGTAACATTCATTGCTATGCGGATGACAGCACTGGTGATGCTCTATACACCGACCGTGCCAATATTTCTCGGGAAAACGTCGCCGAGTACCGGAAGAAACTTGTGTCTGAAGTCGAGTCTTTGCTGAACAAAGTCTCGGATTGGGGGCGACTAAATCTAGTCCAGTTTAATCCCCAGAAGACACAAGTTTGCGCGTTTAACGCTAAAAAGAACCCCTTTGTCGTATCTCCTCAGTTTCAAGGCACTGCCCATTTTGCCTCAGCCAGTATCGGAATCCTCGGAGTCGACATATCAAGTGAAGTGCAGTTTCGTGGACACTTGGAAGAGAAGGCCAAATTGGCCTCTAAAAAGCTTGGCGTGCTCAGCAGAGCGGGACAGTATTTCATTTTTTTTATAGAATAGGGTGACAAACGAGCACACAGTCCACCTGATGGTAAGTGGTTGCTGTGGCCCATAGACATCTACATTTATCCTCGTTTGCGAATCAAAATGCAGATGCGTTACCACCCGTGAGGACTAAGATGGAATGCCTCGTTTCTAGTAAAAATGGTCTCCGGTTCTCTACACTCACCATACGAAACACTTCAGTGTTAAGCAGCTATTTGACGCTGGTATTCTGTGAAATCGTGGTCCTTTCCCGGTCGAGCCGATCCATTCGTGCTACAACTCCTCCAGGCTCCTCAGTGCCAGCTCCTTCCACTTGACCGCATCCAGCGCAGAGCAGCTCGAATCGTCGACGACCGAGTCCTTTCCGATCGGCTCGATTCATTGGCACTGCGAAGAGATGTTGCATCCCTTTGCATTTTCTTTCGAATTTACCACGGGAAGTGCTCTGAGGAATTGTTCGGATTAATCCCAGCCGCCAAATTTCACGAACGCACATCGCGGCAGAACTACTGATACCATCCACACCATCTGGATGATTGACGGTCCACCACTGTGCGATTTAGAAGATGTTTTCTTCCTCGCACGACTTCCTTGTAGAATCGATTACCATCAGCGATTTTTCCGGACCGATACGACTTAGGGACCTTCAAGAAAAGAGCCTACTCCTTTTTAAAAGGCCGGCAACCATCTGCAATTCCACTGGTTCCCCTGGTGTTGCAGTTGTTCATGGGCGGCGGTAGTCACTTACCTTCAGGTGAGCCGCATGCTCGTTTGCCCCCTCTCCTATAAAAAAAATATATTTTATTTATGTTACGGCCTACGGCTGCTCCCTTAAAGGGTCAAACCCTCAGGGGCCCATGAGCTGAAGACTTCCCGAGCAGACGTAGGTCGGGTCTCAATGTGGCCACGTGGAAATTCCTAATTACAATAAACCAGATGGGAGGACGTTAGAAAGACATAGTACTTACTGTTATCCGAAGCTAACTTCGCACTAAGGCTTGGGCAGGCCGTGAGTGTGTGTAATAGTGGATGGCGAGTAGTGTACAGTGAGGTGTGAATGTTTGGGGCCTTGTCAAGCATAGGCGACCAGCCGCGGCCGAGTTCCAGGCTGCTCCAAAATGCTGCACCGCTTCAGACTGCTTCGGCGCCGGACCACAATCACTTTCCTCTTTCGTCACGATGACAGTCAATTAACTCTATCGTGCAATTAACTAACTTACAGAAGCCACTAACTATCGCGGGGTATAAGGTTACCGCACAAAACGCACACGGAGCCTCTGGACCAAAGGTCGCTACCGTTTCGCGTTGCAACAGTTAGTTCTAGAATATCAGAGGCCGCACTAGCTAATATTGTCGAATGCACTTATACAGATTCTGAGTCGGACCCAATAAGTCCCGGGAAGCTCTCCAGCAGGAATGCGCGTCACAAAATCCTAGACCGTATATTTACGGGCCGCACCTAATTATTCCGAGTTCCCTAACAGAATGACAGAGTGCCAATCGTGAGCACTGCCTAAGGACGACTGACTGTCCTTGGGCGTTTTTCGCACGACCGAAAGTCAAACCGGTATGAATGCACCGCGCCGAGCGCCCTCTCGCGTCAATCCTTGAAAGTGTTTGGCACGAACAATTTAAATAGCTTGAAATGCACTATTGTGCCTAAAATTGTATTCATCTAATAATATAAACTTTACATTGTTGTATCATAACTCCTGAATATCTCTTGCTATAACGACAGATTCTCATATCTATAATTTTCTTTTTTAAAAGAAAACAAAATCTATAATTTCAATATTATTTCCTTAGCATTGTCCGGAGGCGGCACTTGTGTCAGCTCGAGTCATGGCAGCTGAAGGAGCGCCAGCGACACGTTCAGCATCAGGTGTCGAACGTAGACCGTCTGCTCCTCGTCCACCCTTAAACAAGAGAGGTTCCGGGTCCCTGTTGTCACAGCCAGCGTCACAGTCGAGGTGAGTCTGCAGCCATTGTAGTTTTATTTTTATTATTTTTATGGGAGAGGCCAGCAGATACTCCGATAGACTGTTAGGGATGGATGGTAGTTTTTTAAGTAGCAGAGCCATGCTGAAGCTATATTAGTAATATAGTTGTAGCACGAATGGGTCGGCTCGACCGGGGAAGTACCACGCTCTAACAGAATAGCAGCTCAACGCTGCCGTGTTTCGTATGGTGAGTGTAGAGAACCGGAGACCCTTTTTACTAGAAAAGAGGCATTCCATCTTAGTCCTCACGGGTGACACGCATCTTCATTTTGATTCTTAATCATCCTACAGCATCCACTTACCATCAGGTGGACTGTGTGCTCGTTTGTCACCCTATAAAAAATATTATATCTTCTGACATGTAACTGTCATACAGTATCGAAATGGTATTCATTTTCGCCATACGTTTAAATACTCGGAGCGATGTGGAACATTAACGTTAAATGTACGAGACGTCTGGTACTGATGCCGCCAATCCGTCTGCAAAGTATAACGATTAAGGCGAACCCTTACTGCATGTCCCCTGCTCATAGGTCCCGTCTAAAGAATGCTATAAAGCACTGTCCGGAGCTACCTGCATTCATCGAGTTCCTGCTTACCTTATCAGGCCGTCAATCCAACTAGTGAAGTGAGGGTATTATAAATTAAATAATGAAATAAAAGATACGAATGCGCGGATGTAAGGAGTTTTCATAGAGCACTTACTGTTTTTACTTCTACATATATTTATCAAGCCACTTCAGAAAAGGAGGTCCTCTCAATTCGTCGGAATATTTTTTGTATGTTAGGCAATAATTCTTCACCACGTGGTCCTATTTCAATTACTTTTGTTTTCGTTAGGAGAAGAGGAACATCAGGGGTAGTTCTATATAAATTGGGTTAAGATTTGATGATGGGATCCACGAGGAAATCATCAGACTCTTCAATTTGCAAAGGCATCTGCACGATGTATGGGCGAATAATGCTTTACCACGTTAATCGATTTCGATGATTGTATTCTTGTTAGTTCTTCGAAGTTGATTTTTACTTATATTGTAACTGTTGGAAAAAATAGTCTGTGAATGTCTTGCTGCTTCTTCTTGACTTCTTGAACTTGGACATGTAGAAGCGAAGGCGTAGAAAGCTAACTAAAATGCTTAACTTTCAAAAAGAACTTTCTTAAGGTCAATTATGAAGCTTTTGAGCCTCGACTTTTAGCTGTCTGCTTTTGCGTTATAATATTTGAAATTTATAATTTATAATTGGAAATTATTTTTTATTAAATAATTCTCATTTAGATAAATTTTGTATATTAATTATTGATGTGTTGTTGATGTGTGTTGTTGTGTTAATATAGTATACAATTTTGTTCTGTATGTATCTAATAAATTATTAAGCGTAATTTTGGATAATTCTTAATAATAATATAGAAATAAAATAAATGAATGAATAAAAATATTTTAATTTAGATTTGACTGGCTTTGAGTAATGACAGTCAAAGGTAAAGGTTTTTTTTTAAATTAAAATGAAGTGATACACGAACTTACAATCCACCCAGTACCGTCTTTACCATAAGGGCACACGGGGCCCGTAGGCCAGGGTCCCAGGGTATATATATATATATATAGCAAATTTAGTTATGATGTTCTTAGTTAAATTAAGAGTTTTAATACGACAGTTAAAACAAGCGTTTCATTTATGAAATCGTAAGATAATGAAAACAACAAACAAGCATTTAAATTACATATTTTTTTGTACTTAGCGAATATAATACAAGCCCAGCTTTATATATTAAAGCTTCGTAAATTATATTCGAATGAGATTTTCCCGCGGAAATGTTATTATGAATATTGAATTGACGACGAGCGAGATGGGACTCGGGTAATTCATTAAACGCCCTGTTTTAATCGTTCCACCGTTATGTCTTGTACAATTATTATAAGTCACGTTCATGGAATAGATTTATTTAAAACTTCATTTTTATATTTAGGAACGCATTTTAATTTTCTGAGTTGCCATTTTAAATAATTTATTTTACGAGCTATATCATTTAAAAATATAACTATGGTTCTTAAAAAGAATATTCATTTCTAGTTTTTTATACCATCATCTCAGTGCGGTGACGGCGTAAGAGAATCCATCAAACCATTCCGTCCCGTGGGTGTCGTAAGAGGTGATAATGCTAAATAAGTGAAAAGTATTATATCTTACGACATAACGGTAACTGATGAAATGGTACCGTCAGAATACCGTTTCGTTTCCTGTCCTGATGGTAAGTGGTGATGCAGCCGAAAATAGTAAAGCGCACTGACTTCGCTTAAGGGGACTACAACAGGAGCTAAACGCAAGTTTTATTATGCCTTAGAGTATATGATCCACTGCAGTAAACAAAATCAGAAGAATATACGATATTGTTCAAGATATATGCTAGTAAGATTATGTGTTGAAAACATGATACTACTTATTTGATACGATAGAAAAAAATCACAAATATACCTCTAAAATTTCTTTTAACGATTAAAATCCATACTAATTGTACAGTCTTATGAATACTGTATTGGTTAAATTAATTAATACATTTATTCCTTGCTAAGTTCACTAAGGTGTACAATTAAGGTTGCAATAAATGAAGACACGTGTCGTATAAACGGAGATATATTTGCGACTACTTTCTAACGTGGCGGACGCAGCCGCCACACCTATAACTATTATACATATTACACATACGCTACATGGCTGTTATACTTAAATAAGTATGGATATGATGTAGGACACCGGACACGCGATCTGAAGAGCCAGCATATTATATATCTATATTGTGTCCCTACACTAATAATAATATACATGTAATTATCACTGATTTTTTTTTCAGATTATTCTACAAGCAACATATTAACGTAATAGTGTTTTGATTTTTTAGTCCAATCAATAGATTTTTGTAAATCGCAAATTTTTATTTCTGAACATAATACATGTGTACCGACATTGCCAGCTGAGGCCTGATGCTATGCAGAATTGTGTAAATGTGTGCGTGCATCATTCTAGGTCACTTGTCTCTTGTAATCCTCTTAACAAAAACCTATTCAGTTTTGACTGACATGGAAAACTGTTTCCATCTCTGGGCTGGGGCTCCCCAGTGCCAGGTCCTTCCATTTGACCGCATCCAGCGCAGAGCGGTTTGAATCAGCGACGACCGAGTTCTTTCCAATCGGCTTGACTCACTGGCACTGCGTAGAGATGTTGCATCTCTTTGGGTATTTTATCTCGCGATACCATCCATCCCATCTGGATGATTGGCGGTCCACCACTGTGTGATTTAGAAGAAATTTTCTTCCTCGCACAACTTCCTTGTGGAATCGATTACCACCAGTGATTTTTCCGGACCGATACGACTTAGGGACCTGCAAGAAAAGAGCGTACTCCTATTTAAAAGGCCGGAAACGCATCTGCAATTCCTCAGGTGTGGTAGTTGTTCATGGGTGGTGGTAGTCACTTACCATCAGGGGAGCCGCATGCTCGTTTGCCCCCTCTCCTATAAAAAAAAACTTCAAGACACCCAAAAAAATTATGATCTGATGGAAAGGCAGATGCTGGCAAATTATTCTACTCTTTTGGTTGTACGTATTATGAACGACGAACCAAACTGTTTGGTTCGAATGCGTGGTATAACGACAACAGGGGTGGAGACTAGCCGAGCGATTGGTGGTCCAATGATGGAATGATAACAAGGAGGAAATGAGTTATGCAATTCCTGCACACACTTTATGTAAATGTGTCTTGTAAAAAACGTCGAAATGTTTACGCCAGGCGTAAAATATGCAGCAGCGTCAAATTTTGCGAGACTTCTGCCTAGATTGCAGTACCAGAAGTCTCGCAAATTTGCATGCATGCCGCTGCATGTCCAAACATGACGATCAAGGCAAATCCTTCCAAAGGTGAGAGAGGCCCATGTAAAGTAGTGGACTTTGGACCTTTGGAGAAGAAGAAGAATACATATAAGCAATGACTTTTACACGAAACACGTTTTCTTTTGAAATGTACACAAAGTGTCACGTAGATTTACGTGATAGAGTGCAGCATGGCTGCAGCTACATATGTATATTAGTAGTATAGTTGTAGCGCGAATGGGTCGGCTCGACCGGGGAAGGAGCACGCTCTCACAGAATACCAGCGTAAAATGGCAGCTTAAAACTGCTGTATTTCGTATGGTGAGTGTAGAGAACCGTAGACCCTTTTTACTGGAAAAGAGGCATTCCATCTTAGTCCTCACGGGTGACAACGCCTCTGCATTTGGATTGGCAAACGAAGATAGATGTAGATGTCTATGGGTCACTACAACCACTTACTATCAGGTGGACTGTGTGCTCGTTTGTCACCTTATCCTATAAAAAAAATTTAATAATTGGGAAGATTGAAAGACTGAACATTAGTGTATGACATGCACTGCACCATTTTTGTATTAATATGTTTATCATTATTTGTAAATTGCCCATTAATAACAGCTTTCCAATGCCCTGGTAAGACTTTACTCCAAGATATTTTACCATTATCACTTTTTTAAGTTTCACTATGACTATTCTCTCTTTTTTATTTTCTTACGTAGTAAGGTCATGCTGCAACGAATTAAGGCTTCACAGCGAATGGGTCGGCTCGGCCAAAGACAAACACGCTCGCACAGAATTACAAAATAATAGTGTTTCGTTCGGACTCTTTTGACTGGTAACGAAGCATCCCATCTTAGTCCTAAGGTACAACAACATATCTGCATTTCGCAAGTGTGACCTCCTCGATTTAACGTCTTGTTATTAAAATAAAATAAAAATAACACACCGTGAAAACAAAGACACTCGTTCGTTCAACTTACCTGTATCTGAAGTGAGGTTTATACGATAAAATCGGAGGTAGGTGATTACGACATACGAGTAACCAGCATTTGTGCTTGCACATATTGGCCTCGGCTTGAATTAGAACTCAGAAGCTGCAGCGTAGCA